GACATACACGAATCTAATCAGACTCTTTGAGCTAGAGCTTGCTAAGACGCGTGACAAGTCACCCCGAAAAAGAAGACACAAACCCAAAAGTTGGTGGGATGAGGAAGTTAAGAGAGCCATAGCAAAACGCCAGGAAGCCTCTAGGGAACACAATCATGCTAAGCAGCGCGGTGAACCGACAGATGAAGTTGAAAGAAAATGGGAAACCTTTCTAAGCTGTAGAAGGGATGCATCCCTTCTGATCAATGAAAAGATTAGAAGAAAGGGAGCTCAGTGGCTGGAAGAAGTACATAAAAAAGATAGAAAGGCAGTACGAAATTTTGGAACCATCTAAACTCCCTAAGAAATGAGACGAGCCTTGAGCAGAGGTTTATAACTACACCCCAAGGTGATAGGCTAGAAGGGGACGAAGTTATTGAATATATAAGAACAAGGGTGACAGAAAATTTCAACAAAGAAGTGCTTTATGTACCACAATAGACAAGGATGAATCAAGTGGTGCAATGGCTCCAATTTCACAAAGAAAGTGGGAAATGGCTGAGAAAAGGGTTTCTAGTAGTACATCAACAGGCCCAGGTGGCATTTCAATTATGCTGATGAAGACATTCGCTCCGAAGTCTAAAAAGACTTTGAGAGAGGCAGTGAGCAGAGCAATAATCGATGGTGAAGTCCCTGATGGATGGAAACTTAGCAGGATGAGCATGAGCTATAAAGGAAATGAGGACAGAGATGACATAAACAACTACCGTCCTATAACAGTGACATCAGTGGTCTACAGGCTGGCGATGCAGATTATAAAGGAAAGACTGCAGGCATGGATAAAGGATTAGGGGGTGCTGGGGGAACTGCAGAATGGGTTTCGGAAACACAGGAGGTTGGAAGACAATCTGTTGTCATGGACGCAGTGCATCAAAATAGCAGAAAAGGAACTCAGGCCCCTGTGGTTAGCTTTTTTGGATATCAAGGGAGCGTACGATAGCGTGGTTCAAGAGAACTTGTGGGGAATGGTAGACACACTGGGTGTGGAAGATGGAGTCACTAATCTTTTAAAGGAAATCTATAAAAGTAACAAGGTAGTTATAAAGTGGGAAAAACAGGTATACAAGCCCACAGAGGTGAAACGGGGACGTAGGCAGGGGTGTCCACTGTCACCCTTGTTATTCATGATGTACCTACAAGAATTAGAGGCCAAATTAGAGGAAAGTGGGCTTGGCTTCAACCTCTCTTTAGTTAAACAAGGAAAACTCATTGATCAGGCACTATCAGCATTAATGTACGCAGATGATATAGTTCTAATGGCCGACTACAAGGAAGATTTGCAGAGATTGATGGACATCTGCGGTAATGAGGGAGATAGGTTAGATTTTAGATTCAGTAAAGAAAATTCAGCACAGTCATGATTTTTAATGATAACGAAGGTAGTGAGCTTAGAATACAGGAGGTCATGCTAGAGGTAACAGATAAATACAAATATCTGGGCGTATGGATAAGCAAGAGAACCGAGTACCTAAGGGAACACGAAATATACGTGACGCCTAAAGGTAACAGCAATGCAGCAGCGCTGAAAAATATGGCACTGTGGAATTACAATAGGTATGATGTTGTGAGAGAAATATGGAAAGGGGTCATGGTTCCTGGGCTGACGTTCGGCAATGCAGTCTTGTGCATGAGATCAGAAGTTCAAGCAAGATTAGAAATTAAGCAATGTAGAATAGGTAAGCTTGCTTTAGGAGCTCACGGGAATACACAAATCAGGGAGTACAAGGTGATATGGGATGGACGTCGTTTGTGGGCAGGGAAGCTAGCAGCAAGATAAAATTTGAGAAGCGATTGAGAGATAAGGGGGGTGAGCGCTGGGCTAGAAAGGTTTTCAGCTACTTGTGCATGAAGAATGTCGATACAAAATGGAGGAAGCGAACCAGGAAATTGACTGGTAAATACTTAAAAAACAGCAGGTGGCCAAACCAAAAAGAACTATCGGTTAAGAAGAAAGTGAAGGAAACGGAGACTGACATGTGGAGAATTGGCATGATTAAGAAGTACGCACTAGAGATCTATCGATCTTTTAAGCAGTAAATTACCAAGGAAAGGATCTATGATAATACTCGGGGTAGTTCTCTACTGTTTGAGGCCAGGACGGGAGTATTGCGAACCAAGACATATCGGGCGAAATACGAAGGGGTAGACACAGTATGCAGTGCGTGTGGAGAGGAAGAAGAAACTGTCGAACACTTGATATATTCTGTAAAGGGCTTCATCCTGTAGTTCAGGATGATGGCGCAGAGTTTTTCAAAGCACTTGGGTTTAGGGACAGGGAGGGCAAGATAGACTTTAAGCGGGTAGCCTTAACTAGAAGGAGGTTATCTGATTGTTGGCTAAAGTCAAGGCACGAGTGAAAATTAAACCCTTCACTGCAAAGTACGAATCCTCAACCTCACTAATTAAAGGAAAAAAAAGATAAATCTAATGGTTACTTCACTAAGTATTACGTCTGGATGGCGTTAGCCGCCGCCCGATCCAAAGGGTAGAGCCACATCCATCCATCCATCATCACGGCGACAGGCGGTATCAGCTAAGCCTGACGATAGTTATAGCGCGAGAACAAAACGACGACACAGAGACAAGAAGGACACGAAAGACACGAGCGCTAACTTCCAACTGAGTTTATTGCGCAGAGCACGAAAATATATAGAGGAGACAGTAACCATGTAACAAGAACCATATGGCATAAAGAGCAGAACATGAGTAAGAGAAAAACAAAAACATGAAAAAACAAACAAACTAGAAAAACAAAAAACGAAAAGCACAGAAAAACGACAAAGAAAAATCTATAAGGAAAACGAAACAGAAAGGTAAAGATAATATAACTACTTGCGCGCACCGAAACCTTCGAGGAACCTGAGTTCCTTCTCGAACAGAGCCACGGAGGGCTTGCTAATACAAGGCTTCTGTTCGCGTGCCATCTGCATGGCCTCGACAATGACTCGGGTGCGCTCATCTCTGTGCTTGTACAGCGTCGCTGTGTCCTTGAAAAGGAACACGCAATTGCACTCAGTGCAGTGCTGAGCAAGAAAACCATCTTTCCCGTTTCTAACATTGTTAGCATGTTCTCTCAGCCGATCGTTCAGACACCTTTCGGTCGTTCTGGCATAACAAGCACCGCATGAAAGGGGGGTCCCATAGACAACTTCCCGGGAGCATGCCGCATATCTGTTTCTATGTTGAACTCTGCATTCCGTTGATGACTGCGTTTTCAGGGGGTTTGTTGATTTGGTGAGGCTGATTAATTTGAACGGTGCCGAGAACAGGACACGAACTCAGAAATTTCTTGAGCCTGTGTGATATCTGGTGTTTCTAAGGAATCACGGCTATCCTTTCACGTTTTGTATCTGTGTTGCTCGGATGCTGTCGCTGCCTCTGCTCTGCCTTATTAGTCCGCAGTCATTGTAAAGGCCGCGCAGATGACACGCGAACAGGTGCCTTGTTCTCGCAAGCCCTCCGTGGCTCTGTCCGAAAAGGAACTCAGGTTCCTCGAAGATTTTGGTGCGTGCAAGAAGTTATATTATCTTTACCTTTCTGTTTCGTTTTCCTTATAATTTTTTTTTGCCGTTTTTCGGTGCTTTTGTGTTTTTTGGTTTTTGTTTTTTAAGTTTTCGTTTTTCTCTTACTCATGTTCTGCTCTTTGTGCCATATGGTTCTTGTCTCATTGTTACTGTCTCCTCTATATATTTTCGTGCTCTGCGCAATAAACTAAGTTGGAAGTTAGCGCTCGTGTACTGCTTGTCTCTGTGTCATCGTTTTGTTCTCGCGCTATAACTATCGTCATGCCATACCAACTAGCCCAGGCTGCCACACCACCTAAGCGTTTTAGATGCGGAGCATCTAATACTCGAGGCTTGTAGTGCGGCGCCGTCCGCAAGCTTCCTCTTCCTTCTTCCACCATCTGTGCATCCCTTCCTCCTCTACACACCGCGCGCGCTTCACTCCTCCACCATCTGTGCACCCTTCCTCCTCTACACACCGCGTGCGCTTCTCCTCTTCACGAACATTCGCTAGCTGTATAATGTAGCGCGCATGCGCCGTCACGCTTCGAGAACATCGGCAGCTGACGCACGCGCATGCGCCGTCGCGCTTCGAGAACATCGGCAGCTGACGCGCGCGCATGCGCCGTTGCGCTTCTCCCCCTTCTCGAACATTCGACAGCTGACAGTGCATGCGCCGTCGCGCTGTATATATACTCAAGGTCGGTGCTCGCTCGCTCAGTTGCCGCTCGTCGGTTGGTTTGTACGGCGCGTCGACGTCCGAGGTCGCAATGATCGACGTCCCTTCGACCAGCGCCGGCCAAAGTGTTGGCGGAACCGCAACCAAGTCGTCGTCCGAAGACAAGGCAGCGCGGAGAAGAGCTCGCGACGCCGAACGTAAACGTCGGCGTCGAGCGGAAGATGCTCAACTTAGAGAACGTGAAGCCGCTGAGAGACGTCAGCGTCGAGCAGCAGCACCGGATTCGGCCGCTTTGAAACGTAAGCGTCGACAAGAGGACCCGGACTTTCGAAAACGGGATACGTGTCGTACGGGTTCACTCATTTAACACCCCTCTTACAACCACGTTAACCAATTTAGCCAGCGACCCAAGTAAGTCGCAATTTAACACCCCATTTCACAACCACGTTAACCAATTTAGCCATCGACCCAAGTAAGTCGCACTTTAACACCCCGTTAACCAATTATATGCTCCGCATCCTCCTCAGTGTTCCCCCGAGGGAAGCTGCGGGCAATTTTATCTGCGGCCCATAGGGGTGCGTCAGTCGAAAGTTGTTTGAGACCTGCAACTGTACACCACTGTTTCGGAGGCTATGCAAAGTGTTGCGTTGTCGCACCGTCCGCCACAAGTGACACTAGTGACCGAGAAGATTCTAAAATGAAGGAGAGAAAGAGTGTGGCAGCTGTTTTTCTTCTCATGCGGCAGGCACCTTTCTAGAGGAGGCGTTGGCATAGAGTAATGTACAGATTGGCGCAACACTTGGTACGGATTCTGTCTAGTCATGCGAAACCAAATCGAGTCAGGCCAACGTCTGAAACGCACATGTGTCGTGTAGTGATGGCTTGGCGCATGTTTGAATGAATTCACGTTGTCACTAGGTGAACGTTGCGATTGCCGCTTTGTGGGTAGCGTTTTATTGCGGCACATCAGTGATGGACCATGACCCGGGCGTATAGCGCATAAGTTGGAGACGCAGTGGCGCTCCCACGACGTTCTTCGATCGGAGGACGCAAGTGCCACTTTCGAAGAGTTCCTGCTCTCTAAGCAGCTACTTAGTGGACTCCGCAAAGCGGGATTTGTCAGGCCGTCGCCAATACAGCTGCGTGCCATTCCTCTCGGCCTCTGTGGTTTCGGTGAGTAAGCGCGATACAAAGCGAAACAGCAATTTCCTTAGCCAAACGCTTTTTTGTGCTTCTGAAGAGCAAGTGTTGCGCGAAACGACACATGGATAGATAGGGAATGGCGCTAACTTCCTGCCGTTTATTGAAGAAACATACGGAGCGCCATTACAAAAAAAAAAAAAAAAAACGGGCTAATAACAAAGGGCCAGCCAAAAGTAATCTGTAGCTGGGTTCACATCCAGACGTCAACAAAACGTCACAACTACGCTACATACTAGTTGCTTTCGCGCAGGTTCAACCATAAACTTTGTGAAATGTTTTTTTCTTTTTCGTCTGTGTCTGTTCCCGTGGTGCTTCGCCTTTCATCTCGATCGATCGTTTGCGCAATTTTCCATTTCCGCCAGCTTCTTAGCTCCTCCCCCTCCCTCCCCATTTCAGTCCTCCTTACATGTAACAGCTCACCATACCTACAATGGCTAGAATGGGGAAGTGTGATGAGCGGCTCTTATGGGAGGCGCTGAAGTCTGAGGAGAGGGAACCGTGCCAGGGCTCCCGCTCCCCTCCATTCTTAGGCACTGCGGCGTGCTCCCGACCGGGTTGCAGAAATTAGGTGCCTTTTCTCATCTTCTAACCACTACCACCACCACTCCTGCATTCACGTCGCTGAACCTCCGCCGCGCCGGAAAGCGCGTGGTTTCTTTTTGTTTAGTGGCATGTGTGTACGGTTGATTTTACGGATATGTGTGCAAAGTGCCCCCTCCCCCCAGTCCTGTGTAGCCATGCCACGGAGGCAGAGTCACTGTTTTGTGCCTGGATGTACCACAAGCTATAAGTCTAATAAAACTAAACGGTCCTTGTTCGGTGTACCCACGGACCCAACCTTACCCGCTCACTCACAACGCGCTGTTTATCGCGCCAACAAGAAACTGGAAGAAAATTGTGCAGTGGTGCGAGCTACACTTCGACGAAAGGTTCATTGCTAGATACTTTGAGCACACTGTGAATGGTGAGCTCGTCTGCATTGGCAGAACCAGGCCTGTGCTGCTTCCGGGAGCGGTTCCAATTCTGTTTCCGAACTTCGCTGCCTATTGCTCGAATAGGCTTTCACCTGAGAGAAAGCGCTATGCAAGGACTGAACAGTATGCCCCACTGTTGAAGCAACGTGCACTAGAAACTGCCACGACAGAACGCTATCGACAGTGTTGACATCAACAGCAATTTGTGCCGTTTGACAATATCACCTTACCGTCGCCCTCGTGGGGAAACATACGTTCAGTATATGTCCTCTAGTTGTTGGTTGCAGCGTGTGTGACCCAGGAAAGACAAAATCATCTTGTTCCCCAGGAAGTTGGTTGTTTTCACTCAATAATAAAACAAGGTGAAGAAAGAGGTGCATGTGAAAGGGGTACAGATACTGCACAATGTGTGGGACGACCCTACGTCACTGTTAGGGCAGATAGACGCTTTAACTGTGATTTGATTGATTGAAATGTGGGGTTTAACGTCCCAAAACCTCCATATGATTGCGAGAGACGCCGTAGTGGAGGGCTCCGGAAATTTCGACCACCTGGGATTCTTAACGTGCACCCAAATCTGAGCACATGGGCCTACAACATTTCCACCTCCATCGGAAATGCAGCCGCCGCAGCCAGGATTCGATCCCGCGACCTGCGGGTCAACAGCAAAGTACCTTAGCCACTAGACCACCGCTACGGGGCCGCTTTAACTGTGTGCTTGGGGGCTGGAACTCTTGAAGAATTCCCGTTTGCCATCGGCAACAAGGGGTACGCAGTCGCTGGTACTGTAATATCCAGTTTAAAGTGCCAGGGTATTGCACAAGAGTTTCATGTAAGCATCTCAGGACAGGCCTCCTCAATCAACGATCTGTGCAGAAACAATGCAACCTTACTTGCGTTGTTCGTATGTCATTAAGGAGAAGGGCACAGACACATGCTCTCAAATGATTGAGAGCCAAGCTTTCGCGGTATGAAGATACTATGCAGAAACTTAAAGAGCAAAGTGAGGAGCTTGAAGAAAAGGTCCTTCAAAGCCATCTGAAAGATCTCACACCCAAGCAAAAGCTTGCCATCATGCAGTGTTTTCAGGGTACACGATGTGAGTCGGCTAAGGGACCGGCACGGCTTATTTTGTGTATGTGGTCTGTACGTTGAGATATGTAATCTGGTCTTTTTAAGTAAGTGTCGCTGTCTAGTCCCGTTTTTTTATGAAATATCTGGTATAAAAGCTTCAAACGCAATTTTTTGCGACGGGACGACAGTAACTCCCAGTTTAACTCCTTTTCATTTCGGTACAACTCTGCTTTTGTCCGTACCGACCCAAAACAAACCTGGCTGCTCTGTTTGTATTTTTTCTAATTTATTTTATCAAACCTGTTTGTGTTGGGTCCCAAAGAGTACAGGCATACTCCAAGATTGGACGAATACAAGTGAGGTAGGCCGTGCTTCTAAGGTTAGGATCTGCACATCTCAAATTCCTTTGAATATAATTCAACGCTATCGCGGCTTTGGAAACCACATAATCCACATGTGCATTCCAGGAACAATCATGCGACAGCAATACACCCAAATATTTGTACGAGTATTTTTATCTAATGTATTTCCTCCTAGACAAAAATTTGCATCAAATATTTTTTTCTTCTTTGTAAAACACACATGAACGCACTTATTTGTGTTTAACTTCATTTGCCACTTAAGGCACCATTGATGAATACGTGCAAGATCAGCCTGCAATTCAAGGACATCATGTTCTTTCTGAATTTTTCTGTAGACTACGCAATCATCAGCAAAGAGCCGTATACTTGAGCTTATATCTTTGTTAATGTCATTTATAAAAATTATGAATAGCAGAGGCCCCAATACAGATCCCTGGGGGACGCCCGAAGTGACCTCTAGAAATTCCGACTTAGTACCATTCAGGACAACACATTGGCGGCGTTGTGACAGGTAATTCTCTATCCAATTAAAAATTCTCTCATCTATATTAAATATTCGTAATTTTTCGAGGAGCAGAGGATGCGAAACAATGTCGAAAGCTTTACTGAAATCTAAAAAGATGCAGTCTGTTTGCCCACCTAGATCAATTTCGGATACTAGATCATTGTAGAACTCGAGAAGTTGGGTCGTACAGGAAAAGCCCTTACGAAAACCGTGTTGAGTCTTTGTTAACAAATCGTAATCTAATAAATGCTTCATTAGAGCCTTATATATTACATGTTCAATGATTTTACATGATATCGAGGTAAGCGAAATAGGTCTATAATTCGTGACATCTTTTTTAGGACCTCCTTTGTGGATCGGGACTACATTTGCCACTTTCCAGTCTTGTGGCAACTGGCCAGTGCTTAGTGATTTTTCAAAGATCAGGTAAAGGTAGAGCGAAATGGGGTTAACGCACTGTTTTAAAACTCTTGGAGAGACACCGTCAGGGCCGATAGCTTTACTGTCGTCGAGATTCCTGAGCAAGGCCTCAATACCGCTGACACTAATTACAAGAGGTTCCATGAGAGGAACACTGCTACTTGTCAAGGATGAGCTCAATGCAGATTTAGGAAGAAAAACGGATTGGAAGTAGTTATTTAGGCACGTGGCTTTATCCGTATCATTGGAAAGAGTGCGTCCATCGAAAATAAGTTCATTTATTCCAACCGGATCAGACCCACATCCCTTTAGATATTGCCAGAAAGGTTTAGGATTTGTACTCATATTTTCATTCAATCGTTTAAAAAAATGCTGCTTTGCATTTACTGATTCTTCTTTATATTCACGTGTTAGCTCCTGTAGCTTCTTATAATGAACTTTACCTTTCATTTTTTTGTATTTTTTGAATACCCGTCTTCGTTTCTTAATTAGTTTCAGGATACTGTAAGTCACCCACGGTTTTTTACGTTTCTTAAGCTTAGCCGAATCCATACTTGGTATGTACTGCTCTGAGAGTTCGAGTATCTTATTTTAAATGTGTTCCACAAATACTCTACACTGTGTTCCTCTACCAAGCATTCAAATACAGGCAAATAATCAAGAAGCCTTGCGGAAATTGACGGATAGTCGCCTTTGTCAAAAAAGAACAACTTTCTTCTGATACTCTTCGTGATTTTTTGAATTTTTGTTATAACGCCTGCTACTACAACCTGATGGTCACTAATGCCTGGAATGATATCGACGTTACTTACTAAATTAGGGGAGTTACAAAAGAGAAGATCAAGGGTATGCTTAAGTCTTGTGGGTTCTAAAACGTACTGTATCAACCCAAAAGTGTCAACAATGTTCTTCATTTCTAGGTTATTACGGCTGGCATGCAGCACCTCGCATGAGTGACTTCGCCATTTTAGATCGGGTAAATTAAAATCACCTGCTAATAATATCGTACGGTCAGACGCCTGTGAAACGATGTCACCTAATAATTGCAAAATACTGGAGTTCGCGGCGGGCGGTCGATAAAACGTCCCAGCTACAAAAGAAAAATTGTTACTGACTGTAACAGTACTCCAGACAGATTCGACAGCGTCATTACCGATATCAAGATTAGCGGATGAAAGGGACGAGTGAACTAACAAGAAAACACCACCCCCATGATTCGGCCTATCTTTACGGTAGGCAGTATAATTGTTAGGAAACACTTCATGATCAGAGATGGATGGGTTGAGCCAAGATTCTGTACCGAACACGACATCGGCCTTCACGGTATCAAGCAAGCCAGCGAATTCGTCTATTTTGTTTATTACACTTCGGCAATTCACTACTGCAATAATTAAATCACGATGAACGCAGATGGTACAATTTTCCTGTCATCGTTTAGACAAGGCAACGACTTCTTCCTTTTCATCATCCCAAGTAAATGCTCTGCCGTTTATAATCAGTTTATCGGCTTTTAGCTTAACCAGGTTTTTCTTATCCGCCCTTTTCGCTTTACCATATTCCCAAAGCTTCTTTCGTACAGTGCGCGTTTCGAATGAATAGTCCTGCTCAATGCTGTACTGTGTACCTTTCAAATTC